CAGGCAACTAGCCGTGGCGAACCCTGCCGCCTACTTGCAACAGCAACAGCTGCTTCCATTCAACCAACTAGCTGTGGCGAACGCCGCTGCATACCACCAACAGCAGCAGCCGCTTCCGATTACCCAGTCGGCTGTTGCAAACGCCGCTGCCTACCACCAGCAACAGCAGCTGCTCCCAGTTAACCCATTGGCACTGGCTAACCCGTTGGCTGCCGCCTTCCTGCAGCAGCAACAATTGCTGCCATTCAACCAGATGTCTTTGATTAACCCTGCCTTGTCGTGGCAGCAACCCAACGTTGGAGGTGCCATCTTCTAGAATACAAATGAGTTGTACTTGATAACAATGTTCTTGTGTCGGCGTGTGCAACTTCCCAGAAATAATCAATACATTGATTGAGATTTATCTCATTCTATTCCTTAATTTTTTTCTCTGTATAATCAATTGAAAATATCAAATCATAACTACAGCCACGTGCTTGATTAATGCATAGAGAATACCACATTACATCATCAATATCAAGATGTGCCAGCCTGACCTCTTGAATGTTCTCATTTGGCTGTGTGCGTGGGTGTTTGTGAAACAGATGCGACTGTAAGTGCGTGTAGTTGAGTACTTGCATCTATGGTATGTTGTTTTAAGAAAGCCATGGGCACATATGCTTTGACCATTGTCTTTCAAGTCACGTGCACGTATACAAAGGAAAACATAATAGAAGTTCATGAGTAAACGTATATGTGCATGCAAAGTTGAAGTCACACCTCTTAATTATTTTTTCTAGTAAATATTTGGTGCGTGTGTTTTTATCTTGGAGCAAAATTGTGCAAGACACCATAATATTGTACAAAAATAAGGAAATAATTGGAGCCCATGAACTTGACAATGCCAAGGGCATTAAATCAACTGGACCCTATCAGTAACAATTTTGCAGTACATAACAACAAAGTATAAAACTCGTCGACAAAAAATATATGATGAACGTGAAGTTTAATTACCCACGAATATGTTAGAGCAAATTTTAAAGAGGGACACCAAACTTGCGTCAAATTGGCTGCTCAACACGGTAGCTCACTTTTCTGCTAGGTAGCATTACCAAAGATGGGATCTTTGTTGATGGGCACCGCACCGACTATAATATGATTTAGAGTGGGGCTATCAAAACCCAAAAGTAACGTCCCCAGATTAAAGTACTAAACGTCCACCGCCATCCTACTGTTCTGTAGAGAGAGAACCCACCTGGAGTGCCATTCTGACACCTAGCCTAGTCCAATGGATTGTAGTTTTCATCTATGTGTAGAATGTGAAAAAGTTCATGTTCTAAAATCTTAAAACTAAACAAATCCAGAAGGTTTACTAGGGGTAGCTCATAGCACTAGAACCAATGTAACCTTAACTCACATGTTATATAAAACTAGAACAGATATATTATCATATCTATTTGAGCACCCATAAAGCAAATTATTATAGAATCATGAAATACATTCCTTTGTAAATGAACAAGGAATAGTAAATGAAGCCATGAAGATTTTGTTGGTCTCGCTCTGATTATGTGTCAACAGAAGTTATTATTTTTAAATTTTTTTAGCCATATTGGATTTCCTTAGCCTAAAATTAATGTCCAGTCCTAGAGATTAAGCTTATTATCCGAATGTTCCCGAGATTCTTTCGGACAAGATTCAGGTCATGTGTAGGGAAATCCGAAATATCTTTGATTCGAATCCACGGAATTAATATATGTGTACCGATGTGCTCACTATTCTAGTGAAAACGAATATGATGGAGTGTGTTGTCATGGAACTTCAAGTCTGGATGTTGTAGTTTTTCGCCTAAAAAATCAACGCAAGCCACATCTTAGCCTTCTTTATCTTGAGTTTGTGCAGCACAGCTGAGCAAGGTTTATGTTAATGATCGTGTTGTTTTTTTTCTTGAATGGATCTTTGCCTTTGAGCCCAAAACGACTTTTGTTTCAACAGCTAGGAGGTTGGCCATGATCCTCTTCATCTGTATATTGAAGGGCAGATTCATATCATAGATGGTGGAAGGAACAAAAGTGGCATCAAACTTATCATTCTCCTTACTATATGGAAATAATTCAAGCATGAGTTTAGTGAAAATTAGATGTACTTCTATTTGAATCAAGAGGTAGACAAGCTTGCTTTCACACAAAAATAAAGTGAAAATTTATTTAAAACTTTTTCAAAGTTAGACAAGCTTCCTTTTACACAAAAATAAAGTGAATTGTAATCCAGAACAAAGGGAGTGTGTGGCAGTGGCCAAGATAGTAATAAGCATTCCAGTTTTGTATATTCTATGCGTGTGCATGCATTTTATACATACTGGGACTTCAATTAGTCACGGTCTAGCAGCATTTGTTCATTCGCTGATTGATAGCTTCTCACATAACTACTGTATATACTTCAACCACGATGAGTACGATCCTCCAACAAAGTCCGTTGATAAAGGCTTTGTGTAATATCCCGATTTTTTTAAAAACAAAATTAATAAGTTGAACGAACGGACTAATGAGACGAGCAAATTTTGACTATTTGAACCGGGAGTCATATGGGCAATCGGACACCGTGGTTGTGCAGATCTCGTCGAAACGAATTCATTTGAGTACTAACATGTTTCGTTTGGAGGTTGGATGAATTTAGGAGGAACTGCTAAATTTACACCATTGGATCTGATTTAGGGTTTGGTTTCCTGACCGGTTAATAAGAAGAAAAAAGGGCCCCATTATGCCACCGGCTCTTCCTCACGCTGCTTTGTTCAGAGCCGCATCCTCCTGTTCCCGCCGCCGCCTCTCGCCTGAGCTCTTCCTTTGTTCGCACCGCTCCTGTCTCTCTATCTCGTTCAAGCTGCCAACGTTTGAGGAGGTCCCCTTGACAGGTCGTCTTCCCTCGCTGCAAATAGCAAGCATCTTGCATGCATCCTTGCTTCTGTACCTCAGTTACTACTCTAGTTATTGTTTTCCCGTGAGTTGCTTTCATCTAATCTTGGTGCTCCTACGTGAAGCTGCTGGGAAGTAGCAAGGTTAGCTATTGCTGGCGCATAGATCCTGGGAGGCCACTGTCGTGAAGGCAAAGGGAAATAGCAGAAAGAGAATTGTGGCAAGAAAGAGGAGGAAAGAAAAGGTTAGACTTATGGTGATCTATTTAGTTCTTTGCGAAATTAAGGTTTCTGTTGTGGCAGCTGTCTTAAGAAGGACGTAGAGGCAGCAGTTGCGTACGTGTACAAGTCAATTTGTAACTGGTTGATCAATTTGGAGTACGCTCTAATTAGGCAGATTGAATCGGCGAATTTCTGGGAATAATCTGTAAATTATCTCAACAGGTGAGTTAAACAAAAGTCACAGCTCTCATTTTTATCTTCCCAACGGTGCTGATTTCATTCAAATCCGATAAGTTATGCCCAAAATAGTGCTGCTTTCTAGCTAGACATATTCTCTGTGCATAAATATTTTATCTATTTTAGAGGTATTTAGAGTCAGAATTGGTCCTCGATTTCTAAACCAAATTATAGGAAATTTTCTGTAGATATCCGAGATGTATTTATTTGCTGCATTTGGATAATAGAATTGAGAGTTATGGTCTAAACAGCAAGGAACTCAAATTTTACTGGATCTTCTAAAAATATGAGAATTGACATATTAGGGTTCGACTAAGAGGTTTAATTGAGCTTTTTCTAAAATAGCTTCGTGATCAATGTGGATTAGTTCCTATGGTAGTTTGCTCCTCGGGTCTGGCAAGCGCCGTTGCCGAGGGTGGCACGCATGCCGGATTGTCGACAAACTTAAGGCAGGTGCATGACGAACCTTTGTATGGGCTTATGCCTCTTGTTTGAGTTTTCAATTGATTCAATTGTTTCATGTGCTATATGATTCAAGTTCCAAGTGTTCTTTTAAATTCAATTCCTGTTTCGGTGGATCCGGATGTGCAATTTGGTTTTTATATTCAAGTTCAAGTTTCATGATTTCTTTTAGATTCAATTCTAGTGCTGGTTTATCCGGAGGTGCAATTTTGTTCTTGTGTTCAGATTCCTGTGAGTAACTGCTGGCCCCACTTGCTTGGCTTTACCGGTAAATGCTAAGGATTCAAGTTCGTTCATTTCAGATGGAAACTACTATTTCGAGGATTCAAATGTTGTCTGTTTCAGACGGAAAACTACTGTTCATGGATGTTCTGATTTTTCGTTCACGGACAACGTTGACTTTCTTCTTTCGGTTCTAATTGTACTTGCCGAGTGTTTTTACTCACCCTCGTGTTTATTTGGTTTTAGGTACCAAATGACAGCAGCATGCATGGGAACCGGAGTAGCACCTTCATGATACAAGCACCTAGTTTATATATGCTTTGCTTAACTAGAGGTTGCTTAATGGTTGGTTTGGATGAGACGATGTTTGCTATTGGGATGGATCCTTTGATACTATTGTTGGTGATTATATCGCCTTTGTAATGTGATTTACCTGTTTTAGATGCCCAGAATACCAGGGAAACTCTGCCAAAATTTTAAATGATTTGCAGACATAATAAAATTTAGATGTTGTTTGGTAGCCTCAGGTGGTGTTCCTATCCGGGGCGTTACACTTTGATTCACATGAGCAAGTCATAACATTACATACTCATCATGTTTATAAAGTGGAACAAATATGATGTGGCGAAGGCTTTGTCATGTGTAAAGATGAAGTTGTCACGTATGTCATTCCTCATGTATCTAGAGAACTCCTATAGAAAAAGACACTTTTTTATAGCACGTAGTGGACACTATCTTGCCAACACATACCATATAATCCAACAAAACTGATAACTAAGCGTCCAAGTTGACTAGGTGCCATATCATCTCTAGCTCATCCGTTTTTTGGCGAAATCCGAGATCTGAACAGATATACATGAGCTCTCACTTGTATAAATAGGCCCCAAATCAATAGCTAATCCACCACCCATATCATTGATAGCAATCAAAAACTTGCCAAGTGAAATGCACTAGCAACATCTTAGCAACAATGGCTGCCAAGATATTTGCCCTCCTTGCACTCCTTGCTCTTTCGATCAGCGCTACAACTGCGTTCATCATTCCGCAGTGCTCACCAGTTACTTCTGCGGGCTATGAACACCCAGTTCTGCGGGCCTATAGGCTACAACCTGTACTCGCGGCGAGCATCTTACAACAACCAATTGCCCAATTGCAACAGCAATCCTCGGCTCACCTACTAGTACAGACCATCGTAGCGCAACTACAACAGCAGCAGTTCCTGCCAACGCTTAGTCAACTAGCTGTGGCAAACCCTACCGCCTACTTGCAGCTACAACAGCTGCTTCCTACAAACCCACTGGCTGCGGCGAATGGCATTGAATACCTGCAACAACAACAGTTACAACAGTTCCTGCCAGCGCTCAGGCAACTAGCCGTGGCGAACCCTGCCGCCTACTTGCAACAGCAATAGCTGCTTCCATTCAACCAACTAGCTGTGGCGAACGCCGCTGCATACCACCAACAGCAGCAGCCGCTTCCGATTACCCAGTCGGCTGTTGCAAACGCCGCTGCCTACCACCAGCAACAGCAGCTGCTCCCAGTTAACCCATTGGCACTGGCTAACCCGTTGGCTGCCGCCTTCCTGCAGCAGCAACAATTGCTGCCATTCAACCAGATGTCTTTGATTAACCCTGCCTTGTCGTGGCAGCAACCCAACGTTGGAGGTGCCATCTTCTAGAATACAAATGAGTTGTACTTGATAACAATGTTCTTGTGTCGGCGTGTGCAACTTCCCAGAAATAATCAATACATTGATTGAGATTTATCTCATTCTATTCCTTAATTTTTTTCTCTGTATAATCAATTGAAAAATATCAAATCATAACTACAGCCACGTGCTTGATTAATGCATAGAGAATACCACATTACATCATCAATATCAAGATGTGCCAGCCTGACCTCTTGAATGTTCTCATTTGGCTGTGTGCGTGGGTGTTTGTGAAACAGATGCGACTGTAAGTGCGTGTAGTTGAGTACTTGCATCTATGGTATGTTGTTTTAAGAAAGCCATGGGCACATATGCTTTGACCATTGTCTTTCAAGTCACGTGCACGTATACAAAGGAAAACATAATAGAAGTTCATGAGTAAACGTATATGTGCATGCAAAGTTGAAGTCACACCTCTTAATTATTTTTTTCTAGTAAATATTTGGTGCGTGTGTTTTTTTATCTTGGAGCAAAATTGTGCAAGACACCATAATATTGTACAAAAATAAGGAAATAATTGGAGCCCATGAACTTGACAATGCCAAGGGCATTAAATCAACTGGACCCTATCAGTAACAATTTTGAAGTACATAACAACAAAGTATAAAACTCAAATAAAAAATATATGATGAACGTGAAGTTTAATTACCCACGAATATGTTAGAGCAAATTTTAAAGAGGGACACCAAACTTGCGTCAAATTGGCTGCTCAACACGGTAGCTCACTTTTCTGCTAGGTAGCATTACCAAAGATGGGATCTTTGTTGATGGGCACCGCACCGACTATAATATGATTTAGAGTGGGGCTATCAAAACCCAAAAGTAACGTCCCCAGATTAAAGTACTAAACGTCCACCGCCATCCTACTGTTCTGTAGAGAGAGAACCCACCTGGAGTGCCATTCTGACACCTAGCCTAGTCCAATGGATTGTAGTTTTCATCTATGTGTAGAATGTGAAAAAGTTCATGTTCTAAAATCTTAAAACTAAACAAATCCAGAAGGTTTACTAGGGGTAGCTCATAGCACTAGAACCAATGTAACCTTAACTCACATGTTATATAAAACTAGAACAGATATATTATCATATCTATTTGAGCACCCATAAAGCAAATTATTATAGAATCATGAAATACATTCCTTTGTAAATGAACAAGGAATAGTAAATGAAGCCATGAAGATTTTGTTGGTCTCGCTCTGATTATGTGTCAACAGAAGTTATTATTTTTAAATTTTTTTAGCCATATTGGATTTCCTTAGCCTAAAATTAATGTCCAGTCCTAGAGATTAAGCTTATTATCCGAATGTTCCCGAGATTCTTTCGGACAAGATTCAGGTCATGTGTAGGGAAATCCGAAATATCTTTGATTCGAATCCACGGAATTAATATATGTGTACCGATGTGCTCACTATTCTAGTGAAAACGAATATGATGGAGTGTGTTGTCATGGAACTTCAAGTCTGGATGTTGTAGTTTTTCGCCTAAAAAATCAACGCAAGCCACATCTTAGCCTTCTTTATCTTGAGTTTGTGCAGCACAGCTGAGCAAGGTTTATGTTAATGATCATGTTGTTTTTTTCTTGAATGGATCTTTGCCTTTGAGCCCAAACGACTTTTGTTTCGAACAGCTAGGAGGTTGGCCATGATCCTCTCACTACTAGAGAACAGACTTTAGAACGATGTCCCAATTTGGCATTAGCCTCGGCATTTTTTGCCACCGGGACTAAAGGACCCTTTAGTCCCGGTTCGTAATACCAACCAGGACTAAAGGTCCCTGCCCAACGGTCGTCCACGTGGCAGGGATCTTTAGTCCCGGCTGGTATTACCAACCGGGACTAAAGGTAAACCTTTAGTCCCGGTTGGTAATACCAGCTGGGTCTAAAGGTTTTAGTCCTGGTTTGGGTGATACCCCGGGAATAAATATTAATCTTTAGTCCCGGTTTGGCCACCTAACCGGGACTAATTATGCCGCCTATACACCGGCTCATTTCTTCCTCCCGAGCCCGAGCCATTCCATTCAAACTCACACCGCCTCTGTTCTTCAAATTGCTGTTGTTCTTGCTCTCCCCCTCCATTGGTGTTGCTCTTCGATTTTGGAGGTAACAAACTTAATCCTCTTATGTTTTATCAAGAGCTTATCTCATTTTGCGATGTAGATGCATGTGTAACTTTATATGTTGGACTTTATTATGATTTTATATGTCATTTTTAGCTCAAAATCACATGATGATTTGCATATATGTTTGGATAAACAAAAGTTAAATTAGTTCATCAAAATCACGCCTCGCTTTCGTCTCTCGGCTGGAGCACGCGCCATCCTCGCCCCCCCATGCTTACGTGATCTTAGAATTAATTTTTCCATGAAATGAAAAACTTAGAAAATTGTTAGAAAATTGTAGAAAATCCGTACTAGTTGAACTTGCGGACCGTGATCATCTCGGCGAGCATTTTCTCTGCCGAAGGTAACGGACGTCAAGGAGGAGCTTTGATTCTCACGAGGGAGAGCGGCAACGGTCGTGGAAGACCGTGTTCCTCCCTCGTAGAATCGGAGCTCTTCCTTGGCCAAGCAATGCGGTGCCGTCGGTGGAGAAATGCTCGCCGAGATGATCACGTAAGCAAGGTCAACTAGTACAGATGGTTATTTATTGAAACATGTTTTTGAGCTATGTGATTTCTATGTCATTTTTAGCTCAAAATCACATGATGATTTACAATAGTAAAATCACTTGATAGTTTGGTATTTTACTATTATACATAGTACATATTTCATGGTTTAGTTAGATAAATAAATAATTTTAGTTTTGTTTAAATATATTATTTTAGAAAATGTGAAATTTACAGTAGTTTGCAAAAATAAGTATAGAAAGTAGATGACAACTGGTACCAGATCCTCGGCCTCTTGTTCGGTTGCGAAACGACTGAGGCCAGAACTCCCTCTCATTATCTGCGGCAAGTGTAAGTAGAAGATTGTGATGGAGTACCGAGTCAAGAAACAGGGACCCAACAAGGGTCGTGTTTTCTACAAGTGCCCGGATCGCGATGTGAGTTTCTTACGCATTTGATTATTATGGCTAATTGACTCGCTTTTCTTGAATATTTTGACTAAATATTTTTTGGCTTTAATTTCAATGGGGCGGCAATGGGTGCGATGGTTGGTAATTGAGAGGAAGATTATGCTACATACGTGCGAATTAATTTCATTGATGATGAGGCGAAGAGCCAACAGGAGAAGCTTATTGATATTCAACAGAAGAATGCTTTGTCTGTTTTAGTTGCGTACGATCACAAAATAATTATGTTACTGAAGTGCATTGTAGTTTTAGTTTGTTTAGTGATAGTTGGGATTGCTTACGTTGTAGCTAGGCTTAGTTAATTAATCAACCGTGTGCATGTCATCTATGTTGTGTAATAAAATACTTAATTATGTTCAAGGTTTTCATAATTTGTCGTGTAATACAGATTATGTCACGCCATTGGATGTACAATGCCGATCGCCACTCCCAAGACTTTATTGAGGGCTTGCACTATTTCTTAGGTGTGGCCAAGGCAAATAAGCGGGATGGTTTCATGTGCTGTCCATGTGCCCTATGTAAGAATTTAAAGGAATATTCAAGCTCAATGAGTCTTCATTCACATTTGCTTAAGTCAGGTTTCATGTCAAACTATATATGTTGGACTAAGCATGGAGAAAGCGGGGTCATGATGGTAGAAGGTGAAGGAGAAGATTTAGACATTGATGACATTATTGCTCAGTATGGTGCCTTTGATGATACTACAATGGGGGGAGATGAAGAAGAGGTAGCGGTAGAAGATGATCTCGGTGATGCTCTTGGTGATGCCATTCGTGATGCACAACAAGAATGGGAAAGTGAAAAAGAGAAAGTTAAGTTCGAGCGCATGCTTGAGGATCATAGGAAGTTGCTATACCCGACGGCCGAAGAGGGGCAAAAAAAGCTGGGTACAACACTGGAATTGCTACAGTGGAAGGCAAAGAATGGTGTATCCGACAAGGCATTTGGGAATTTATTGAACCTCATAAAGAAGATGCTTCTGAAGCCAAATGAATTGCCCACCACTACGTACGAAGCAAAAAAGGTTGTCTGCCCTTTAGGATTAAAAATCTAGAAGATACATGCATTTCCTAATGACTGCATCCTCTACCATGGCAATGAATACGAGAATTTGGATGAATGCCTGGTATGTAAAGCATCGTGGTATAAGATCAGGCGCGATGATCCTGGTGACGTCGAGGGTGAACAACGTCCTAGAAAGAAAATCCCTGCCAAGGTTATGTGGTATGCTCCTATAATACCACGCTTAAAACATTTGTTCAGAAATAAAGACCATGCAAAGTTGTTGCGGTGGTATAAAGAAAACCGTAAGGTAGACAATATGCTCAGACACCCAGCTGATGGGTCCCAGTGGAGAGCGATAGACAGGGAATTTCCAGAGTTTGCAAATGAGGCTAGAAACTTAAGGTTCGCCTTAAGTACAGATGGTATGAATCCTTTTGGTGAGCAGAGCACTAGTCATAGCACTTGGCCAGTTACTCTATGTATCTACAACCTTCCTCCATGGTTATGCATGAAGCGGAAGTTCATTATGATGCCGATCCTCATCCAAGGTCTGAGGCAACCTGGCAACGATATTGATGTCTATCTGAAGCCATTAGTTGAAGAACTTCTACTTTTATGGAACAAACCAG